CATCATCATCATCATCATCATCATCATCATCATCATCATCATCATCACACAATTGCAATACACTGTGTAACCCCCTTCCAACTACTTTTTTTTCAAGTACTTGATGTAAACAGCAGGCAAACGTATTGGAAGAAAATGAAATCGCCTTTTTTTCACGGGAGGGAATCTACAGTTTGTTGACGCCCAGCAAACATTTGGAAGCTTGAATTAGCTTTTTAGTCACCAGATACACAGCATCAAACCGACCCATGGTGACTCAACGTCTTTTGAATGATTTCTTTACCATCTGAAGTTTTCTTTTCTCCTGCTTTCTGTACCTTCACGCACCTTTAAAAGTTCCAGCTTTTCCGTTCAGCTTCAACTTGACCCGGCTCCGTAAAGCATAAACCTATTTGGACTCTTAAAAATGAACAGTGTGAAACACAAGAATATTTTGGCACTTAGTCAAACCATATCCACGCAGATTTCTCCTTATGGGCCAAAAAAAACCCCCAAAAACCAATGTGGTGCTGGGATAAAATCCTCCCTCCACTGCGTCAGCTGAGCGGCTAAAGCAGACGGGACTCGTTGGCACTTGATAGAAAAACAACGAATGGAGCCTTAAATACGCTTTGTACTATACAGAGGTACATGCACACTCTCCTTTGCACGGAAATCCTTTAGAGGGGGAAGGTTGGACGCTGGAATGGACAAAACAGGGGTTCTTCACAGGAAGGTCTACTGCAAACATCTAGCCAAGTTCAGCAGAGTCAGTGTTTGTTGCAGAACCCAAAAGGACAAAACATACCAACAAACTGAAATAAAATAAAAAGTACATTCACATACACTGATTGGCGTTTATAAACCGCGACGCACACGGATGAGGGAGCCGTTGAGGGAAGCCTTTGACACCGGAGTGATGCCCATCTGGAATCGTAGTCTCTGACCCCCAGTTTAGTTGTCATTGACCACAAGTGGAGCTCCGTCCACTCAGGTGGTGATGTCCTGTACACGTCTGGTCACAGACAGGGCAGCGGTTTGTCCGTGAGGAGGGTGACCTGTCTCATCGCGTGGCGCCACGCGAAAAAACAATCATTGGTTTGGGGATGCCTGCTGGACGTTTTTTTTTTTTTTGTTTTCGACTGCAACTGATAATATTCAAATGTACAGAAGTAGAAAAATAAAATCTCGGCTGTCCAACGTGAGATCTGCTTCCCCACCCCCCCACACTTCCCCCCCTCCCGACTTGACACTCGGATGAGAGTTGTGACTTAGCGGAGACTAAATCTGTTTCTCCATTTGCTCTCACAGTCTTTCAATATGACACACACTCATGCACACCCACGCATGTGAACACCCACACCACTTACGTTTGCTGCCACACTGAGAAAATGTCCTTTGAGAAAAAATTACAAAAACAAAACAAAGCCATGTTGTTGCTTCCTTTGCTATCTATCTATCTATACATATATAAATGTCTAATATATATACATATATATGTATACATACATATATATATATCATTTGTAGTAGAGCAGCTGTGGAGCCTCTGTCACAGTCTGGCCACACACACATTGCGGGCACCTTCGTAAAAGGAGAGTCACAAGCTAAAGCGTGTGTGTGTTTGGCCGGCTGTGGATAGATAGATAGAGAGGTCTCAGGTCCCTATCGTGGTCGCAGTTCCCACGCCGAGAGGTAAGCAGCGGCCTTTTGGCGGAAGGTCCGGTAGATCCTGTTTTTAGGTCCTGTTTTTTTTGTCTGGTTGTCTCTCTCTGTGGGAGTGGAGGTCAGCCTCAGCTCTCCAGAGACATGGCAGAGATGAGCTGCTCCACCTTGTAGGACAGCCTCTGCTTCCTGGCCTGCTCATCCTGCTCCAGGGCCGCAGTGATCTGTGGAAAAACAAAGAAAAAACCGCCTTCTAATACCACCCATTGAAATGGTCCGGAAACAAAAGTGTAAAATCGGGGGTTTTATTCATAGCCTTCTTTTTTGTGTGTGTGTGTATGTGTGGTCATCACATGAAAGAAAAAGCAATGTATTGCACTGCGTCCTCCGTCTTTGAAAACATTCAGACATATTTTTGCATTTGTCCATTTTTGTTTTATCTTCTGAGACCCATCTTTTAAATGTGGCATTTGTCAACCTGGGTTCAAAAGGCATTCAGACAGCCGTTGCTCTTTGTTCTCTCATCTAGCGTGTGTGTTGTCAGGATGAATACGCGTCAGAGTGACACCAACACACACAGTAAGGGCTCTTTTATACTAATAGAAACCAAAACACGAATGCCTTCATTTTCTTTGATATATTTCCCATTTCTGAAACGCGGTGTCTGATATCGAAATATGGTCTCCGAACTGCCCGTGTGTATCTGTTTTTTTCCTGTAGGCTACACCAGAATGGCACTCGTCCCTCAATAATTGATACCGCAAACAAAATAATTCATTGAGGCATCTTATGCAATATGTAATTCAAAAATATTCTGAGGTAAAACATAAAATATAAATCTGGTGGAAAAGTGTCAACTACAATGTACTATTCATCCGTGTCAAGTCTTATTTAAAGTTACTGGACTCATTTTCTCTGGCTTTCCTCCTCAAATTCAGGCTGACTCAGAGGTGAAAGCGCTGTGTATTCAGCCATGTCAAATAAGATTCCAAACTGTGGGGAGCAGAAATACTGAGTTTCAAGAAAACCACGTAGGAAATGTTTATCCAGTTAACTTGAACTAAAATAGCAAAGGGGCCTTTAGGACAAACTAAGAATAAAACAAGACACAACATTCTAAAGGTTTATGGGAAATAACAAACAATAAATTCCCTTTTCTGAGCTTTCAGAAGGCAAAGCTAATTGTAATGGATTGTAATGCTAAACATTAGGATTCGTTTTTTTCTTTGCTATAGACTGCAACGTTTGTGTGATTGCATGATAGGTGTAACTCATGCAGAGTGTCTTTGTGTAGCCAGCTAATGATGACAAACTATAAAACAGTGTTAAGCTTAACTGAGTGCCAAGCATCTTGCCTGTTTGCACAGTGAAAAGGCAAAAAAAAGGATTTTTTTTGCAAAAAAGTATGCCTTAAATGTCTTTTGCATGCTGGATTCATGGTTTGTACAATGTTACAGTCCTGAACAAGATGTGAGGTCTTTGAACTTTATGGTACTCCATCATATATCCGAGGGAAGGAGTCTCTTCTTTAATCAAACAGGACAACAGGACAACACTCTTGCACTTGAAGGGCCTAATCTAGAAGATTTGAAAGCCGTGTCGTCCTGAAAAGCATATCAGGATCTCGCTTTTCTTTCTTTTTTTTTGTTACCCAGGCAGTGCCTTATTTGCCCGATCTTCTAAAGAACAAAGTATCCGTCTGCCCACCAGCCCTCTCCCTCTCATCTGCTTAAGTGCTCTTAAAGTCTTGCAGCTACAGTCGTGGCGTTTCCTCCTTCTCGTCGCGCGCGATCGTAATCTATTATTAATCTGTAGTCCTTTATGCAGGTGCAGCTCCCGCCGCAATCTCCCAAATCCATTTAAGTAGGGCTGCCGCTCGGGCCTGGTTAGCCTGACGCCCACTCTTTGTGAAGGGGGCTGAGCGAGAATGCGGAGCGTTAATCGCGCTGTGACGTCTTTCGCGCTGCACTCTGCTGGATGGCGCGGGGACCAACAGCCCGCCGTGTGTTTGCAAATGTCTCCGTGAATGTGCGCATCAGACAATGAAAACTGCAGAGGCAGCACAGGAGCCCGCAGAAGACTCGCAGGGAGCAAAGGGGGGAGCTGAGTGGATAATGAGTAAGAAAGAGACGGGATTTTACAGGAGGGTGGAAAAGAGACAATAGGAGATAGAAAGAGAGAGAGAGAAAAAAAAGGAGAGAGATACTTTGGTGGAATATAAAGGTCAGGCTAAAGCTTCCCAAAGGAGGAGCTGACATTAGAACCAGAATGTCTCCATAAATGCTCTTTCTCTTGCCTCCCCCATCCTCCTCTCTCCTTTTATGTGCTTCTTGTGATGTGAATGTGTGTGTATTTCCAATGACTCCGCTCATTATGCCCCTTCCTGTAAATAACAGATAGCCAACTCGAACTGGGCGCAGCTGAAAGGACAGCATGATGAGTGCGTGTACACATTGTCTCTCATGTCTTCAGATAAGACCCACTGCCTCGTTCAGATGAGTTCTCACTAACACCTCTGGGCTTTTGGGGGAGCCCGCCGAAGATGGTTGTCCTCCCCAAACCCCGTGATCAATAGCCCACGTTCAACAAGCAAACGACAGAGTGCGAGGAAGGCCCTTTTTCGTTCCAATCAGGAGCTGATTATGCAATCAGAGCTCCAGACTGGCTCGCAGGAAGAAATCTGCAAGAGGGCGGAGAAGCCCGACGCACAGCCCGGAGGAAGGATTTACCTGAGCGCCGCATGCCAATCAAAGTGCAGGATAATAGGGACACGAGAGCACAAATCATTCAACGACAGACATGTAAAAAGATACCAAATGAATTCGGTCCAATGTAGTTTTTTGCCATTGTTAAAAGGGCACTGAGGAAGTTCAAGGCGCTAGATTTATATTCCGATTATCAATTTTGTTTTCCGGGAACAAACCACACTGATATCGCTATGCGTGTAATTTGCTTATTCGATTTTAGACCCGTTTAATTTGGGTACGCCTGCAATTAAAATGAATGCAGTCCAATACAGGAAATCACCAAGCTGACCAGGCTTACAAAACAGGCCATGGTCAATACCACCGGATATTCCATTTGTCATCATTCTGTGAGCCGTGGTGGCACAGAGATAAGGAGTTTGGAGTTGTGGAGTTCATTTGGGCTGTTTGTTGTTGTGACCTGCTACCCAAAAGAAGCTTAAATAACTTTTATGAATGACTTTGAATACTAAATCACTACGATCTCATAGGAAATCACTTTAAATTGGAATCTCTTAGATTTTCCTTTTAACGGTAGATATTCCTTAAAATTGCTAGCTGTGTTTGAGTTGAAAAGGAAAAAAAAAACAAAGCAAAAAGTTCTGGTGTGGTGCTCTGGTTGTGTGCACGGTTATCACTTACCTCCTCGCTGTACTTGCTGACATAAGAGTAGATCTCATTGAGAGCACTGAGCATGTTGAACTCTGTGGAGTGGAGTCTGGCCTGTTCTGCTAAATAGGCGTTCATGTCCTGGTCACTAATGGCCGGGAGCCGGTTGATGTCGGCGTAGTACCTGGGAAACCAGACAACACGAGACACTTTGCATCACTTTACCGAGTGAGTGAAAATAAATTAAATGAGGTTGAAATTATTTTACAGTCAGATTTTTTTCAGGCCGTTACACAGCTTGCGCAGGCAATTGAAGTCGGCTCACGCTCACTTGCAAAATGCTTTTACAGAATCCGGTGGAGGATTTTATACGACAAGGAAGCGCTTTACGAATACATTTCCCCCAAAGAATCAAGTTTTTATTGTAAGAGAAGACCAAAAAAGAGGCATGTTAGGGAGGGATCGGGATAGTGGATAAAACGACTCCTACCTCTCCACCCAGCCCTTATAGTTGGGGATATCTTTAGCGTAGAGCAGCTTATTCGATGGGGAGTCTTTGCCCAGGCGGTGCTCCGAAGTGGAGCACGAATCCATGAAGGTCTGAGCCACCACGGACAGGCAGGCGTCCGTGATGCTGCTCTTATGGATGTCGAACACGAACTGCGGGTTCTTGATCACGTTCACCCAGAAACGCAGCGGGAGGCTGGAAGTCGGAGACAGAGAGAGCAGGTGAGGGACAGGCGGGCCAATCGGACCTTTTACCCGTACGAGGGGTTTCAAAGAGAGGCCTCACCAGTTGCTTTTCCACGTGTGGCGCACGTCTGTGTCGTAGATTCCGTGTTTGTCGGCCTGCTCGTCCAGGAAGTCGAACATGTACTTGATGGCCAGGGGGAGGGTGCTGCCCCTGTGGACCGTGCTGAACAACGTCTCGAACAGATCGTCCACGAACTTCTGCAGCGTGCCCTGAGGAGAGAATCCACGTGTATGGTCAGCACACGGGGCCACAGGAGGCCACAGTAAAACAGTTTGCCGGACTTTGCGTCGTACCTTGGTAGCGAGCAGCCGCGTCAGGTAAATCTCCGAGACCATCTTGCTGCCTCTGTCCCCTTCTTTCTGGTCTCCGTGCTCGTGGTTTTTCACCAGGTGCCACACCTTCACCCCGCTCTCTAGATCCGGAGTGATCATGGGAGCGCGCGAGCGGAGGCTGTCGGGGCTGCCCGTGTAGCGGAAGGACGAGTCTGTCCAAGACAAGGAGAAAAAAATAGTTAAAAGCAAATGTGATTTAAAAAAACAACAAATTTCTAACTTGTAGTGTTTCAATCTCTGACTTTACAGCAGAATTCTATGTGCTCTCTGCTCTAAACAGTGGAGACTGATGATGGAGGAAGTTGTATTTTCTTAAAATGGCAACTCAGTGGAAGGCAAGGGGAATCATGATACGGCACAATATGCCTGACGCCATTTTGTGTCCCTTATAAAAGACAGAAGTCGGGCAGAAAATAATCCTTTTTTGCCTTTATAATGAATCATTAGATAATCATTAGTTGTTTTTCATATATTTATATATATCTCCCTCATCCTCTGTTCTCTTTCTTACATAATGCATGCCTTGTTTTTGTTGGCTGGCCCCACTATAAAGTGCTCATAACTGGCTATTCCCAAAAAGGCTCCTCTGAAAACATTCCTGTCACACTCTAATCAATGTATCAAAAGATTCCCATTTTGCCATCCTGCTTCCATGCATCCGCTCTGGTGTTCCTGCCTTCTGTCTCCTCACTCACACGGAATGAGGCTGGTTTCAGTTTCTCTAATTAGTCCGCATCTATTCAAGGCAGTCGGCGTCTCTCTGGAGATCCGGGATCTAAGGATCCCGTGGAGGATTTCCCTCACCTGGCTTCAAAGGCGAGCTGAACAACAAAGCATTTACTGCCATTAAAGCCCCTTATACCTTTCGAATAAGGCCAAACTCAACCTCTGGAGTACCCACTCGGTAAAGGCGGGGGCCGAGGTCCCAAATCCTACGTTAATCCGGCCACCGCTCGACCGCACGCCTCTATCTGCACGCCTCTATCTGCACGCCTCTATCTGCACGCCTCTATCTGCACCCCTGGCCTTTCCCTGACTTCCTGAACGGTTTCTGGCTCCTGGCGAACGCGGCGAGTCACCAGGGGGAATGTGTTCAGCACGGTTCCAAAGCCAGAGGGTGGTGGTGCGGCGGCATGGGGGGATGAAATTGAGTCAAGATGCTAAGTGCTGAACGTGAAATTGGTATGAATCGTTCAGCAGGTGTCGGGGCGCAGCTGTGCCAGCCCGTGATTGATGAGGGGCCGGGCTCACGCCAGCTGAGGGCCTCCTCGCTATGCCGCGCACGTCCCTTTCCAGGAAAGGCGATCAGAAATGTTAAAGAAGAACAAATTGCCATTGTTTCATAGGGACACTATTTAGGGTTGAAAACTAATGAAAAAAAGTTCACGTTGAGCCCTCATATGTAAATGACAACACGATACAGAAAAAGGCCTAACAGTGATAATTACTGTTATCTTTCCGTCTCTATCATTTACTTCTGTTTTGTTCGTATTGTTTTCCCAAGGGCATGTTTTCCAAAAAATTCACTGCACCAGCAGAGGTATTATTTTCCATCCTTTGCACAGGTACCCACTCTTTCCCCGTATTTGCAAATAAACTTAATTGCCCATAGTGACAAGGATGCTCCTAGCTCCGTTTTCCCGTGTTAGGCGGTTTAAAGGCGACGCTCACCTTCTATCTCCAACCCTGATAATTGGCCGTGCTCTCTCATCCGTTTTGTGTTTGTGTGAAGCATCATTCACACAGAATAATTAGCAATCATGCGTCGCTTGGTGTTGCTGCTGAGTCTGGCTGGCTGAGAACCAAATTTGGCACGAGCTCCAAGCGCAGCTGAAGAAAATGTGTGTGCACGTGTGCCACGGCAAAGTCCAGGAACACCTTTTAATGTGAGCAGAAAGTACATCCTCCCTGCACTACCACGACCAATCAGCGTCCTAACATAAGGGCAGATTTATTTGTCCAGCTTTAACGGTTTTTTTTTGGGCACGATATTAGTGAAACTTCAAAAAATGTTAATCATTATTCATTTTTAGTTAAGTTATGTTTGTATCATGTCAATAACACAACATAAGTTGTCTGTTGTGACGTGCGTAAACTGCTGAGTGGGCTCTATCTTTTTCCCTTTGGTTTGACACTCGCATGGGTCACAATAGTAACGAATACTACAAATTTATATGGAATTGAAACAAGTGTTTATGAACAGTCAGTGTCTTAACTGCAGTAGACAGCGATACAGTGCTATTCTTCTTTTCTGCGAGCTCTTAACTAAAGCTATAAGCTAAAAGGAAATTTGGAACACCATGAAAGCTCATTTCTCACCATTTTAAATAGGCCCGACCATTATTTCACAACCTCAGAATGCCTGCTCTGCAGAGAATTCAGAAATAGTTCCGTTTGCAACACCATGTGGGGATACGAATTTCCTTCTGTCACTGGCTCTGCGTGGCTAAATGAACTGCAAAAAGTATCCACGTTATAAATTATGTTGACTGCCTGATTCTCTCTTTTGTGTTCATCCCTTTCTCAACAAATTCTTGCACCATCCAGTAGAGTCGGGACCTGAACTTCCAGTAAAAAAACAAAAAACAGAGCACCCCGTTTAGGAGAGAAAACACAACAGCGAACCTTTTGCAACCCTCCGAAAATAAGCATTGCTTTGGGGAAAGTGGATTTGGCTTCTCTAGTATGAAAATCTTTTTGATGTCTAAGTAGCTATACACTTGCATTCACACAGACTCAAAAGAACGCAACTTCATCTAGAATAGCTTAGGGTATATTTCATCTGGAATTTACATGGAATGTATGTCATATGTGCAAAGCAATGCATTCACTGAGAAGGCTTAGGAAAAGGTATATAGAAAGCATTCCTGTCCTGGGCACTCACCATATCTGCTGATGGAGGTACGCGATATGCTGGCTGAGGAGGGGATGTTGTATGATGAAGTCTGCTTTGGCACCAAAGCCACAATGGAGCGGTCTGACACCTGTTCAAAGAGACACACAATACGCAGAACCTTGGTATCGCAAAGATTCGGGCAATATTAGATTTTTAATTAAAAAAGATGCATTTCATGGCCCCCATAGGTGTTCATTCTTTTCATTCCTAAAATAGTGCCTCTGCGGTAGAAAAAAAACAAAGAAAAAAAATCAAAACAGCCAGGAAACTGCCAGATGTGTTTGTGTTTAACATGTTCCCAGCAACATTTTACACTATGGAAATAAAACAAGATGATGGGACGCAAGGCCCCGGGGGAACAATCCCCTGAGCAAAATTGATCTGAAAAGCCTTCATCCCTGCGTGTCGCTGTTGTTGGGTACGACAGCCCCGTGGCTTTTTTCTCCAGCAGAGTGCCGCGGCTGCATGATGGCTGCACTCAACGTGACTCTCATCATCATCGTCAATCCATTCGCCAATCTTAAGAGACAGGATGTTCGCTTTGGAGCTGGTGAAAGATGCTACGGCGGGGCGAGGAAAAAGGAACAAGAGGACTGTCAGACGGAGAGACGGCAACGGTGACGGTGACGGTTTCCTATCGGGTACCCTTCACAAGCTCAAAAAACATGGGGTGCAGGTTTAATAATAGCAATAAGGCCGCTATGAGGTGGAGTCAAGAGAGAGAAGGGGAAGAAAGAAGGTGGTAGAAGATTAAGCTGTTTGTAGTTTGTTTTCACAAAAGGGTCTCGGTCCTGAGTGCTGTGCTCCAGTCTTTACAGAGAAGATGAAAAGGAAAAGGAACATCTTTTGCAGGAGAAGATGCCCTTAAAATGAGTTTGATAAGGTGCTTCTCAGCTGAGATCTTTTTTTGATCAGTCCAGGACTAATTAAGGAGTTTTAGCATTGTTAGCAAAACAAAAACATCTTGGTTCGGAAGAGACGGAACCTAGCGAGGCAACCTTGCGGCTCCTCGCAAAAGCCGAAACAACAAAGGGCTGGTTGGCTGGCATTTGCGGCTCACCCTGAGGAGGGATTTCCGCTTCAGACCCTGCGAAGAAAAGCTGACGAGCCCCGAGTGGCGGAATAAACAAAAGGCAAATGCCAGGCTCCAAAAGGCACACCTCAGAAAAAGCGGAATCTACGTCTTTTCAGTTCCTTCCCACAGGAATGGGCCTCACTCCATCTCTTGGAATTTGGGATGGGCATCATGGCGGAGTTTGTTCATGCTCTCATCCTCCCTCCCTTGCAAGCTAATCTTAGCTGTGATGTTAGAATGGGTTGTCTTGGAGAGACGCTTGAGACCGGGGATGAAATTTGGAAGAATCCTCTTAAAGACGGATCTGGAGTGACTGAAAAACGGGCTTTACGACCCCCCAGACCCCTGCGATCGACATCTCTGACCTCTTTCACCTCACCTCTTTCCCATCCCGTCTTTCCTTTCTAAAATCTAATTTTCTATGGCCTCTCCATCCCATAGCCTGGCTAATACGCCACCAACAGAGGCTTCCATGCAGTTTCCACCGCTGTTGCTGTGATACATTTTCTCCTGGGAGCATGAAATAGCTTCTCGGCACCCCCCTTTCCCTTTACATCATCCTCCGTCTCTTTCTCTCTGCTTTTTATGGCTCACAGAGGCTACAGCAGAGATGGTTCCTTGTGATAGCGGTAAATGATTGAAGGCGCGCGGTTTCGCCCTTCGGGGATAATCCAGTGTGGGGCTGATAGTGGGCAGGTGTGATAAGGCCCGTGGGCACCGCCTGAGATAAGACCTTCCATTAGACAGTGGCGAGTCCACCAGACGGCAGAGTGTGGTCATCCCCCATCACTCTCTCCTCGGCCCTCCCAAAAAAAACCTCCTTCCCCCTGCGGTATCCCATTTTTGCTACACTAGTGATGTCTATCGTGTGATTCCTCTCCTCCCAGCAGCTCTCTAAAAAAATTGTTGTGCATGTGTGCAAGTTTTGACAAAAAAATTCCCAACTTTACATAGTGTTGAGGCATTGTTATGAGTTACACACCGGTTTAATGCCCACTTGACTGGCAATTTATAGGCTTTTAATTGAATGAAGGCACCTGTTTGTCTCTAAATCGTCTGCAGTGGTCCCCTTTGGATTGATGACTTAGCAGGAATTTGGGATTAACCCAAACACTCTTCCATAAGCATGTTCTTCCATCTTGTCAACCCTCATTTTCGATCCGTGATAGGTATGCATCACGATTTCAAATGGAGTGCAGCGAGCCAAGTCTGCCACAGCAGCAGATTAATGAGCGCGCTCCGGAGCGTGCCGGTGTCTGGCGCTGTTGAAAATAGCCCAAAAAAGCCCCATGTGATGTCTGCAAGGTGGGTAACGGGATCCCGAAGCGGCGGTGAGTGTCTGCTCGCCCCCTTTCCTTTACCGCAAAGACGAGGACACGCAGGTCAGCAGGCGGGGGCGGCAGCATTTCAAACTTTACTTTTAATTTGGATGCGCTTTCTGCCAAGGTGAGGGAAACAGCATCCGTTGAATCATTGTTATTCATCTGCACGTTAGGAAAAACATTCCAAAGGAAAAAAAAAACCTCCAGACAGATGTGGCATACAAATATGAAGCGCCGCTATAATGAACAAACATTTAGTCAATCTAAATGTAATTGCTCCCAGTTTGCCTTGTTTAATGTGTGCACGGGTCTGTTTGTAGGTCGAACCATCACAGAAATATATTCATCTTTTTTTTTTTGTAATGATGTCATGCTTATGAGGACAGGAAGGGACCAAAATCTCTACAGTGTTGGGGGCATGTTGCTGTGGGACATGTTGAGATCCATGATAGCTGTCAGCAGCAGGTAGGTTAATGCCGGAGTGTTTCAGCACGGCACAGATGGGGGAGGGAGCGATGAGAAAAAAGGTGCCACCAAAAGCCGTGCTTTGACGATTAATCAGCAAAGAACGATCCAAATCAGCACTCAGTCAGAATCTCTCCCGTCTGGGAAAGCTTTCATCTGTTTATAGAACCAGCACGGGGGGTGCGGGCTGGATGTCTGCGCACGCATCGCACGCGTGTTTGATCGTACTTAAGAGTAACGGTGAGACCAAAAGATGGGGACGAATCGTCGGAGAGGAGTTCAGTCCCCCAGCTGCTAAAACAAAGCTGATGACTGAAGAACCTGAGCATTTTCACTGCGCGCGTTTATGTTTTTAATTTTAGCGCGGAGGAAAAGGTGTGCGTTTCCATTTCCGAGACGTGTAATCCATTATTTCCCGTGTGGCACGGTAAACAGCCAATGGCGTCTTCGGTAGCTGTGAGAGCTATGAATTTGAATGCCCCTCGCGTCCGCCGCGATGGGAGAATTAGCAAATCCTCAAGGTGATGCTCAGACTCACTTTGCTGAATTCAGAGGCCTTTCCGCTATTTTCTCTTTTAGTCCACCCGTTTTTTTCCCACCTCTCTTATCAGAATTCCCCCTTACTACCGGGCTTAATGAGCTGTGCTCCATTGTTGTGATATGCAGCCACATGTGTTGTCACAGCTGCCAGTTCAGTGCTGCGGTGTACGACACAAAACGCACAAGCTCACACACACACGGGGGGGGGGGGCCGCTGCCAGCTCATCAAAACCGTAACGGCGCCTGTGCGGCTCCATCTTTCTCTGATCTCTCCAACCACCCACTGCCCTCTTCCTTCATGTCCTTCTTGACCCTCTCTCTCCTCGTCCTTTCATCACATCACCGCACCGCCTGCCAATACGGGCTCTGAAGTCACACGGCCGCCATTCTACCGCGGGGACTACGGACTTCCTTGATCAATGGCGGTGCTCTGATCCGCTATTGAGCGAGAGAATAAGTGAAGGGGGCCACACGCGTGTCATTGTGTGCTCGGTAGTGGCTCCCTTGGCTAACGATGGCAGACTGTGACGGCAAAGGACTGCAGAGGAACACAAACAAACAAACAAACAAAAAAAAAAGGAAAAGGGCCCATTATGTCGTGGAAACAAATGTAGTGAAAAGCTTCATCAAGAGAAGAAAAAAAGCTGCAGGCGCCATGATGAGGTCCTTAAACTGCACGGATGAAAGGGAGGGAGAGGGTAATGAAGCCGCAGAGAATGATCATTTCTTGGCTCCGGGGGGTGAGGGAAAAAAAAAAAAAGTAAACGAGGCCAAATTAAAAAAAAAGAAACTCAAGAGGAGATGGGAAGGACAGACAAAGGGGGATAAAACTGTGTGGTGCCAAGGACACTATGATGTGCCCCTTCCTCTAGCTTCTCCCACATCTGTTAAGTGACTCTGCTTGTTCCTGTGGGAGGAGAGTTCAGGACAGCTCAGCGTTTTGAGTAAAACCAAAGCTGCCAACCAGCCCGACACGCGACAGCTAACGCATACAGCATCACAGGGCTGGCCTACGACTTTCTTCTCACCCTGTCTGCAACACAGGTAGCTCGCGAATGAAGCCTTTCAACGCTAAAGCTCATCAAAAACAGGCTCAGGGGCCTCCGGCTCACAACAGCACCTCCGTGCTTTCGTGCTCATGGCTGCTCAGCCAGAAAGATGCTGGAGAGTGATAAGATAATAGATGGTGTAGCAGAATAGAGTAAGTTGCTTGCAGAGGACACACGCAGAGTAAACAATGTAGGTTTACAAAAGCAGAAGCTATTCAGATTCTCCTCCAGTCTTTTCTCTCAGGATCAAATTGTCACGGTTTTCATATCTATACATGTATGTAGTTGGATTAAATTACATTGATCATCTGAGATCAAAAATAGTTACAATGTAACTATATATATATATGTATACTGTATAGGTGTGTGTTTTTTATTAAAATTTTGACCAGTCTGTTAAGAACTCCTGGGACACCTTTCTTCATGATCTGTGGAGATGGCTGCCGTCTTCTTTTCCTTCATCTGTTCCCTTCTTTATTCCTTTTATACCCCTTCATTATTTTTGCCTCGGCTTGCACTAACTCCCTCTTGATCTCCTCCATTCAACCGCAATAACTTCTCCTGAAAAATAGAGAACTTCTCTTCTTGTTCGCCGTTCCCGGCCTCTTTAGCTCGCTGCTCCTGGAGCTATTAAACAAGCGAGCGGAAGGTGAGTCTCGGGGCCCTCAAAGCGGGATCTTAACACCGGCATCAGTCTGCGTTAAGATCAACAGCGAGAGAGGGAGCGGAAAAAAAAAACGAGCGGGGAAAGCAAAGAGACGCCTTCCTCCCGCAGCATCCTCTCTAATGGGAGGAGGGAGAAGTGTCAGTGGAGATGCGGAGGGTTGGCCTCTCCTGCCACCTGTACGGTAATTGTCCTCCATTCTCCGAGTCGGTCGGATTACACCACGCGCGGGCATGCAGAAGAGAGGCTGAAAATTGGCTGCCTTAAAGTCAAGAGCAGGAAGCAGGGATGTTTGGCGGTGTAGGTGGAACAATTTCCATAATAAAAAGCCACTGAAGAAATTGAACTGAAATGAGACTGTTTTTTTTTTTTTTCTCCTCCCCACTAGAAAAAGGGTTTGAGAGTTAATTAAAGGAAACATCCGGCTGCGCTGGCTGTGTGTGGGCCTACCTGGTAGTGCAAGAGGGCGTTGAGTCTCTTCCAGTCGTTTTCAATCTTGGTGGTGATGTCTTCATCCTGCAGCACCACGCGAGCCATCCGCCCCTGGCGCCACTCTGATGATACGAGAGCAAACAAACAAATTAGTAAGCAGGCGTCTATTGCAAATGACCTATCAAACCGAGCTGCAGAGGCTATCGCTTTGATTCATTTAACAACTGTGTTACAGTGAACTTAACATTTGCAGATGGAATAAAATTTGTTGAAGTGGTGCCAAAATCCCATTTGACTTCCATAGCTGTATATGTGATGGTGTTGATCCAGGTGCTCTAAAACAGTGCTATGGCGAATCCTGCACACCTCAGGCTATGTTTGGTTTCCAAGGAACTTGAAAATCATCTTTAAAGGGACCTTTATCAGTAGATCTCCGTGCTTTCTGATGGGCTTTCAAAGACATTTCCTGCTATTTTCACCCCTTTTTTCTTGTATAAATCCAGTCCTCGTACTTGACCGTAATCAGAGGCCTTTAATTCTTGTTTGTAAAGCGACTAGAATCAGAGCTAGGGTTAAGATTTACAGATTTACAAAGGCCTCAAACTCAAGAAGTGAATCGGTGTTGTATCCTAAGACAGGAAACTGTCTTAGGATACATCTTTACAGATATATAATTTGTTCACATTTCAAGTTTGCTATGCGTAAAAATATATTTTTGCAATTTTTTAAATTGGCAAGGTGATTCCAAATGAGCAGTTAGCTGACAACATGGCATATTCTTTAACATCTTTAACATATTCAACCTAAGACCAAGCGAAGGGCTGAAAAATACAAGTTCATGTTTATGTTTCTGCATTTATCCAAAGCAACTCACAATGCAGACACAACATTACAGTTAGCATCAACCTGACAATAAGCTACATAGAAGGAAATCACTAGTGGGACTCTGTTAGTGTAGAGATAAAGGGAAATACAGAAAGAGTGGTAGCGGTATGGGGAGGTACAGGGTAAGAGTACAGGGGAGGAGATGCTCTCTGAAGCCCTGGGTCTTCAAGAGACTCTTGAAAACAGACCGGTTCTACAAGCGCTTGGTAAGTCCTTTCACCATTGTGGAATGACGGATTAAAAGAGTCTGGATTGTCGTATGTGTGGTGTGGGCACTGCTAGACGACAATCCAATGGTGACCGAGTTGTGAGATAAGCCCAAGTAGACCAGCACCTTGTAGGCTAACATCATTGACTTGAATTTGATGTGGGTCAATGAACAGGGGACTGACATGGGACTTTCTAGGATGATTGAAGACCAGATGTGCCTCCTCTTTCTGGATCATTTGTAGATGTTTTACAGTAAAGGCCAAACAGGAGAGCATTGCACTGGTCGAGACGGGAGATCTCCAAATCTAATGTTAACTAATACATCTAATGTTAACTGAAGCCTGATCAGAAATATCCTCTATTGAGGAAAGACAACATTATAAATTAGGGGAAAAGGTAATGGCCCCAGTGGCCTTTACTAAAAATCAGTGGAAACTGGATTTAACCCTCCCCACAACCTAGACCTCAATATCATTAAAAAGGTGGGATCATCTTTAGGAGAATGGAACTAAAAAGGCATCCAAAGAATAGCTTTGGGATGTTCTTCAAGGAGATTGGAGATCTGCTTCTGAAGACGGATAAAAGGAATGACAAAAAGCTTTTCAAGAGGGTTCAGAGTGTACTGAGGAACAAAGGTGCTTATTTACTTTCAAGCTCCTTGAACTTAAATCTATTTTGAGCAGAAAATGTGCTGCTTTTGGAAAATGAATCTAATGATGGGCAACACTTTCGAATTACGGCTATAAATAAGTAAATTATGGTGCCTGATTTAAGTGAAGTTTCCAAGAATCCTATACACCACCATGCAAATAAAAACACATTTGATTTAGCAGAGGTAAGAGGCAGACGCAGATGATTACATGAGTGGGTTTTTTGTGTTTTTTTGCAGGAGAGAATTGATATACATCCTGATTTAACACTGCGCACAAGCCGTTTTAAGACATCTATGCAGGCAGGCTGCTCACTTTAATTGGTGCATGTGTCACAAATGCAGCTGCTGGCCAATCATAGTCAGGTGGAAGAGAAAAGTAGAGTGGAGAAGACAGGATGAAAAAGCCAGCAATGAGAAAATTACCTCCTTTCAAAGGGGGAAAAAATAGGGAGCGCGGTTAAGAGGTGCAGGCAGAAGGCAGAGCCGGTGGAGGGCAGTGGGTGATTGTGTGGTAATGAAATGATAATAAGGGTACTGCCAGGGGAGCAGATAACTATTCTAGGCCCGTGCTGCGAGTGATCATTGATTTTCCCCTTGCTGACTGCATTTTATTACTTTTGTTCCTCTGCTAGACTGTCACGTGACGTTTCTGCCCGGCGAAACATCATCTGGACGCCATCTTTTTCGGCGGCAAAAAGACAAACCCGGGGGCGGTCTGAACGCCGCCTGTACACACGCCGCCGGTCTCACACAGATGCAATTATTTTTGAAGAGATAGTAATGTCGAGGGGGGAGACGGCCGGTGTGTTGATTTGCAGTCGGCCGAGGGCAGGGGAGGGGGCCCTTTTGTTCTCCTCGTGAGAGAAAAAATGAGAAGGACAGAGGCTAGGTACGGACGGCCAGGATGGAGGTGGCAGACTGCGTGGGAGGGGAGCCTGACGCCAGGCTGGCAGCTCTTACCTAGGTGAGCTCTTACCCACGTCACCAAAAAACACACACACAAGGCCACTTCTCTAACTTAATCCACCGCGTCTTGTTGGCAACGCCGGGCAAGCGAAGGCAGCCAGACAGAGAGGTGCAGCGCACACTGTCAGTCGGTTTGATAGAAGGCCTGGCAGCAGCACACTGAGGCCGGCTGCCCTGGAGGATAGGTTTTTATCACACAAAAGCCCTGATAATCTCCATACATCCCGCCGATACATGCGTCTGCCGGGGTGGAGGACTTTTATACCCGCCTCCCGCCTCTGCGACAGCCTCGGAGGGTGCGTTTGGGTGCGTGTGTGTGCGTTTGCGTGTGTTTTTGTGGCGTACCCAGGTCCATGTCCACGGCGCGCGGCCGCTGGGAGTAGGGCATGTTCTTGTACACGGCGTCCAGGATCTTCTCCTTCACCTGGGTGATGGTGTCGCAGTTGAGCACCTTCACTGGAATCTCGGGACTGTTCTCGTTGTCCGGGTTCACACAGTTTAGGATCTGGAGTGTGAAAAACGGGAGGGTGGGGGTGCAGAGAGAGAGAGAAAGAGAAGGAAAACATCAAAGAGGGAGGGGAGCTGGAGGTGTGGCGTCGCTGGCTGGACTCGGGTCCAGCTCGAGGCTTTGCTCGTATTAGAGCCTCCTTGGAGCATAGCGGGAGCCTCGAGAAAACCATTTCCGCTCTTACTGGCTTCCCGAAATCTAATTTCACACCTTCGGCGGGACACCAATTTCCAGCTCTGCCGGGGTATTAGCACGTAATGAGCCAAATTCCCAGTCAGAGCAATCAGAGCATTGTCACGCCACATGCTGGTTGTGTGGGAGCGGTTTTTTTTTTCCCTCCCAGTGCATATGTGTGTGTGTGAGGAGATGGGGTAGGGGGGCTCTGTTTAGTGTGTTTCAATCTTCACCACCACCTACCCTGATGTTGGACCAACATGAGCTTGTAAGAACCGTTGGTTTATTTCCTTCCCCTCAAAAAAACAAGTTAATTCGAAAAAAAGAAAGCCAAACTAAAAGGCAAAGCCAAGAAAAAGGAGTGTGCGCATGTTGTTTACCGTTTAGAAAAAAGTGCTCGAGTCGACGCGCAGCCCTCAGCTTGGCAGCTTTGTGTGTGTGCGCGTCTGTGAGCCTTTGTGCAAACTTCTGCTGTGGCTGCTGGAGTGTGACGTACCAGGGTTTTGTACTCGATCTGCTGGCGGATGAGCTTGTCTTCACTCAGGGAGTAGCGGGCCTCTCCGGTGATGGCGTCGATGGGCCCCTTTTCCATCTGCTGCTTGATGGCGCAGTACAGCATGAACAGGGGCTCCCCGGCACACTCCTGTGAACATAAACACATGCAGACAAAGCCACAGATTCACACATGAGAGAACACAACAATATAAAAAAAAAAAGGAAAGAAAAAAGGAAAAGAAAAAAAACACTCATGCGCCAGACTTCGTCGCTTACTCGTCGGTCACACTTTTCATTTAGAAACTTTATTAATAAGATACAAAGGAGAGATTTATCGGTGTATGTGTAAACACCCACGCGCTGTTGCACGTGTTGCTTGGTGCACTGACCTTGAGGAATTTGTGAAGGAGGAACGCGAACCAGTTTGTGAGCATCTTCTCTGCAACAGACTCTGTTCTGAAATGACGAAAAAAGGGAAAAGAAACATTTAAAAAAGACCGTTTTTATGCCATTTGTTGACAAAACCAAAACTTTGAAACAACAAAATAGTCCCATTATCCATGAGGTTGTGTGTGTGTGTGTGTGTACGGGGGGGGGTCGTCAGGGACATTATCTGGAGATCTGGGCTTGCTGCTAGATCCAGGCTTTGGTTTGCGGTCACAGTGAGTGATCAGAGACGGTGGGGTGTGGGTGTGGGTGCGGGCCGTTGTGCGTTTATGTGTGTCTGATTATTCATGTGCGACTCCACGCAGCGGGACACCAGCGACGCCGGTGACAGGCCTCAGCTGCTGAGAGAGACGAGCGCTGTCACAGCCAGGTACTGTCTGATCGCAGCCAAAAGGATCTCTCCTCCTCCTCTTATTCCCCCCCCCCCCGCCTCCTCTGCCCTTCCCAGTCAATCACAGATGGAGGTACAGCCTGCTGCTGGGCTTGATTGGGCATGAAAAAAAAAGAAAAAATCAAGCAAAATTGTGCGACGACCTCCCGACTCTTTCCACCGAGGACCTCACCAGAGGAGGATGTGTGCATCTTTTAGAAGTTCTGCTCATATCTTTCACCAAAAAAACAAAAAAACAAAAAAAAAGTTAGATGAATTCCCAGTATCTGCTTCATTACCATCATCTTGGGAATGGTTCACGAGCAGATGAAAGGGTGGATTTTTGGTGTGGACGAGCACCTGAGGTGAATAACAACACCACGATCCCGAATCGTCTTCTAAAAACAAACCCCTTTGTGGGCGCCTGGACGTGGAAACCAACGCGCTCTGGATAGGGGGAGCTGTTTCTCAGCTGGCCGGCCTTTGGGTCCAAAGGCCATCGGTGTCATCCCTCCTCTGAGATCCATCTTAGTTTGTAATCGCAAGTTAACGCGCCGTGGTAACCTGCTTCCACCCCCCCGACTGCGGTGTGACAGCTCGTGATTGTCACCTCACCTGGTTGTCAATGACGACTGCCACTCCAGTTCAGAGCAACGGCAATTTTTATGGCAACACTTTGACAAAAAAAAAGAAAGGAGTGACCCTCCTAATGTGGCAGTAAATGACTGTGATTACTCTGGTGGATATGATGGAGGGTCCTCACGGCACACGGCGCCGAAACCGCGGATTAGCAGGAAATGAAGAAGGCAGGTATTAAAGGAAAGCGAAAAGGCTTCCGTCTCCTCAATAATACTCGAGTGATTATACCTATCCAGGCAGTGCGCGGACCTGCCGGCAGATTATGGGACTATTATGGAGATAATTGTGTTAAGTTCTGTTCTAGAGCTATAAGCAAGAGCACAGAACCGTAGCAGAAGCCCCAGAAGGATCGTCTGAGTCGGAGGCGTAACAACAAGACACTGAGATGATGAGAAGTGTCAGTCATATTTTTGCCTCCTATTGCACCGGGACTGAGGATTTTCAAATGGAGACACAGAGTTCTTCTTTAGCTGCCGGGAGCACGGGTTTAATTTAGTCTTAAACAACATGAGGCAGAGTTGAGATGATGTTTTCCAAATTTGCTGGCCAGCACAAAGGCAGCTGGCAGAGAGGATGGAGGGCTGGGCTGTCCCTATTTGAAGGGCATCCATTCAAAAACAGCAAGGGGAGTGCATTTTTTCAACGCACTCTTACGAGAAAATTCAAATGTAAACATTACCGAAGAGCTGAAATAGGAAGAAAATGTTGAATGCATGCCGGCTGTTGTCCCAGTGGATTATTCATAAAGACAAGTGAGAATAAAGTTGATCCTGTTTGAATTTCAATGTTTTTGAATACGGTAAACAGAATGATGAATAGATTAGGAGCATTTAAACGACGACTGTTAAGTACCATGTGAGATTTTAGAATATAATGTGCTGACACACTATACGCTTAATTTCTGACTTAGCCATGTAGAAATATAGCTCAGGACTATAATGCCGTACATCTAAAAGTCCCAATCTAAAAACAATTCAAGGTGCAACAAGATCTCCAAGCACTCTAAACAGGCCTGAATATGTCATGAATTCTTTTGGACAATGCTCCAAATTCCCTTTGTAACTGTCAGTCCTCCTTTCTCCATCAGACTTTGCCCCTTCTTGCTTACCATGCACCCCACCTATTCCCCCATCCCGCCTCCCTTTCAGCTTGTATGAGACTTGAGTGTGTTAGAAGTTAATGAAACCTATTAAGCATTTTAATAAGCTCAGCAAGTCTTGAAGAAGAAAGTCAAATAAAGCCTTTTGTGCGGGGGCCGTGCTGACTCCCCCTTAATATCTCTGCTCTTGAACGTCGGGAGGGATAAGCACTTTGTTCTCCTACTTTTCCTTTCCTTCTTGTCCTCCTCCACATCTTCCACCACTTCCGTCTTTCTGTTAATTGAGTTTCATTAATGAACATCAGGATTTCATTATCCCACATGGTGTTTAAAGGGGCCCCATCTCTGGTCTCCTAATGGCAGCTATAGAGTGGGGTGGGGGTGCAGGAAGCTATATTAGCAGCCAGCAAAATGTCTTTCAATGAAACTAATGCCAAACACAATGCTTGCGTTCTTAATAACGCTGTACTCCATTGCTCTGCATGGGCGGAAATCTCATTAGAAAAACGCTGAGAAGAAAAATAATACACGACTGAAGAGTCCCAAGGTGATGGAAGCAATGTTCTGTGATTCCATTAAAAGAACATTATGAAAAAGATAAGGAAACTGGGTAAAGAGTGGCAAAAGTTAAGAAGAAAATGGAGGAGGCTTCGTGGGAGGAAGTGGCTCTTCCGAGCTGTTTTCACGGCGGTCGTCTAACTCCACAAAAGCTCAAGAAATAATGGACGGAAATGAGGACAGAAGGCAAGAAGCTTTCTCGCAACAAAATAAAAATCAAACACGTACTGGCCGCATTGATTCCACTTAGCACACTGAAGCATGCAGAAATCAAGCACAATGGTTGGATAATGCCTTCGGAAAGCTTTTAGGACAACATAAGTGTGTATAAAGCTAAAATCTTTCTCCAGACAGACGAAGAAATCAGGAAGCATCTGAAATCTTTAAGTGCTAAAGTTGAGTTTCCGTTGGAAACGTACCACTGGGAACTGAGCGACTGTGTACCAGGAGCATGCTGCGGCCGAATGAAGGTATGATCTTACTGCTATAATAGAGTTTAATACTTCCACCAGTAAATGGCGGTGATTTCCCATCCTGCTAAAAAATACCCGTCATGGATTTTGAATTCAAAGATCTACAACCCCAGCCTCCTCTTTGAGAACAGAAAAATAGTATTTAGCTTACTTTTTGAAAGTGGGATTTTTACTATTCAAAAAGGTTGGTTTGTTCAGAGTCACAGACACGTAGGGATGCTTGTCACATAGTGACTCACTAATGCTGCATTTTACCTTTATTTAGCATGTGGTATCAGATAGAAATCCCACAAAACCAGCAGAAATCTTTTTGACAAATTCCTCCATTGATGCTGGACAAAACACTGACTGGATAACCTGTGCTAAATTGATATTAGTATATTTGATACACTCTGATATTTGTATCTGTGCCTTGAATGTCTGTGATATAAAAATAGTTTCGAAGTGACGCTCTGCTCTGTGGAATATTCAGTGACAGTTAAGTGGAGTATGAGGCAATGTTCAGACATGGCTCAGGACTGATTTTCAGCTGATTGTGAAATGACTGGGAGTAGAAAGTAGTGGCTGCTTTGCTGAAAGTTCCTGTATGTATGTGCTCCTAAAGTCATGCTCAGTTTGTCCAGGGGCTTCTATAATTTTGAAATTTTTTCAGAGGGACACCCTATGGTTTTCATTCTTGTTCATATAGCTCTATTTGATGGATTTACTGTAATATCCATAACTAACACAGAACAGAGATGAGTCTTTTCTGAAACCTGTTACAATACAATACCTGTTACATACAACATGCTGGACATGAGTATGGTGAGCCAACAAAGAGGACACTAGGAAAATGACCACAGAGCACAGCCTTGCTCCACACGGTGCACAAACACACCTACAACCGGCCTGTCATCCCAAACGTGTGTGTTGGTACATGGATAACGTGTCATCTTATTTTTTAAGACGACGCCAACGATGGCAAAGACCCAAGTCATGATCCCCTAAATTCTAAACAAAAACAGGTAGCGCAATGCCAAAACCGTAGGACATTCACCCCTCTAGGCTGCATTAGCGGAAACCTAGGGATTGTGCACCACTGTGTTTCTAATGAGACAGGATAATGAAAACTTAGAGGTAACGCGGGGCGCTGCTGGGTGTGAAATGACAGCTTAATCCAGGTCAATTTGATGCTGTTTTGCTTTTGCACACCTCAATGTCTATATATATATATGACACCTTTTTGATTAGTCTGCTATATCTGCTGACTGTTAATCGGGTTTTTCAAATACGGACGTTGAAGGAAGGTGTCTTCCAGCTGCTGCTTGTGGTCCCTGTCTCATTCTGATCACGAGAAAGAAACTCTAAAACCAAACAGAGCAGACAAACTCACCGGTACGTCTGCAATGAGAAGATATTTTTTTTAAGGTTGACAACTCTTTGTCCTTTGAAGAGTCAACAAACGCAGCCGAGGACACTTTGTCAAAGACTCGGCAGAAGCTTAAACTTTTAAACGCCTCATTCCAACTTCACAGGAACAATGTACAGTGGATGCACGAAGAGAGAGGAGAGAAGTTAAGTCGAACATCCTCTGAATGTTTGATAAGGGACTCGTGCCTGGAGCATAAGTTAGACTGACAGTGGCTTTAAGAGACAACAGCAGGAGAATCTGAGAAACGGGGGGGAAGTTGAGCATACAGATGTTCTGCTGATTTGAATGGCGCAGGCCATTAATATGGGCTCGCTGGAGATTAACTACAAAACTTTCTGCAAGACTTGATATAAAGGTGTCTCTACAGGGAAAAGAATGAATTGAAATGAACAAAAGAGAAGGTGAGAAACACATTGCACTAAATGAATCCCCCTTGATCTGACATTGTGCATTTACATCCTGCAGCACTGCACTCCTTTACATCATTTCAAATGGGGTTTTGGATTTTGTGTGTTTGCAATACTAATGTTGGTGCCATGACAACTCGCAAAAAGAATATATTCTAATATCAATGATACTAAGAATATCAGGCAAAATATTGCCTAAGATTAAAGTGCTTTCCTTATCATGTTTATATTACACTGGTTTATTATCTTATGGGTAATTTAAATATTAATAAAGAAACATTTCTTTGTTTGGTGCCTTCAATTTTGACATTTACATTAAATCTGCTAGGGAAAGATAAATAAATAAACCGCCAAGATGCATAAAGAAACAGCTGAGTCAAGCCTTTATAACACTTGAAGAAGAAGGAAGTCGAATAAAGCCACGTCAAAAAGTTTAGTCACCTCCGCAGAAGCAGTTTGGGGTGGTTCTTGCTTTCCAGGTTGCGGTCAATCAGGTCCGACAGCAGGTGTTTGAGGACATCGGTGGCATATTCCAGCCGGCCCTGTAGGGCGGTCATGATGAGGGAGGCCACGTTTCCACGGTCCCGCATGGAAAAGGAGCGCTGCATCTCCAGCGTTCGGATAAAGGTGAGCAGGAACACTTTGTTGTTGATGAGCTGGCCAAACAGCTTGAGGGCCTTCTCCACACCCTGCTGGCCGTGACCCGGCACCTGAGCGGGAGACACAAAAAGCACGTCTGGTCATATTCCAAACGAGTTACCGAGAACAGTTCGTCAAATTCGCCGTGTCCTTGTCTCACGAGCCCAAGGAAAGCTTCAAAATCCTGAGGCGTGTGCCACCTCAGGCAGACAAAACCTCCCACTTTAGAGGGGAAAACACAAGAGATCCTCATCAAATATTTATCCAGAGTCACTTAAAAAGTAATGTGCTTTAAGTTATCTATTCATCTTGCAAGCAAAAGGTCATGCTTTCTAGGTAAGTAACTAGAATAAACTTTTGAAAAAAGTTTGAACAACTAATTTGGGTCCCTTTTTCAGGAAACCCTCTGAAAATGACTTAAAAAAAAACTTTTACCATTATTTTTTCTGCTTATTCTGAAAAACCAATCTTCTTATTATGGTTTCATGCATGGACGTCTGTAATAAAGTTGTTGTGATAAACTACTCAGTAGTGCTACAACTTATTTCAAATGGAATAATTGCTGTGTTCTGAGCTTTTTCTTAATCCAATTGCTGTTTGACATACATAGTTATATGATCAATAATTATAGAAACCTGTTTCTTTAACCTGCTCAACACATTCCTTCACTGCCAACGCTGGTGCTTTTAGGAGATTGCTACCATTTTGAATCTCCATAGTATCCTGCGTCCTACTGTGGCACATAACCAACAAACAAGACATCACTTTGGATCCCTTCATCCCCGACGGTGTCATCTTGAGGAAGCTCTCTGCACCCTGCGTGAAATAAACTCATTTCCCCCGGACTTGTAAGGCCCCGTGAAGAGGGGCAAAAAGTGTTAACTGGCCAGTTGTTCCTCCTCGGTGGAAGAACCCACTCTCCGGCTTGAGGAGGAGGAATTACTCACTTCATTACCCCTCATACTGCAGCCAGCGGTGGATGAAATAGCAATGTGCCGGGACCCTGTTTTCCATGAGGGAGTTTGCATGTGGAGTGTATATATATGTGTGTGCGTGCACACACCCCCCCACTATGATGGACTGTGTATATGTATGAGACCACAGAGTAGAAAGGATAAGTGGCACAGTGGTCTCCTTTCCCCCCCTGAGCAATTTCCTGCTTATGGAAGTTGCCCTGCAGGGGCAACGGTAAAGGGGAAGACATGCTTTTCAGCTGTCTCTTTTTTTTCCACACCGCCTCTCCTTTGCCCTTTGTTAATGCTTCAGCTGCTCATTTCTCTCAGTCATCTTCCTCCCCGGTTAACCCCCTTGTCTCCTCTTCTTGCAATCTGTCCTTAGTTACCTCCAGTTCTCTGAGGACGGGGTGATCCTCGATACCGGGGAAGAGGACCCTCATGGCGTACGTCCGGTAGTCCAGATAGGGGATGCCTGCTCGGTCCAGGTCACTGGTAAGCTCGTTGATATCCGTCTGCAGCTCCGCGAAGGCTTGTGTGGAGAGGAGACAGAAGAGAGAAAGTTCGGATAGGGAAACTGGAGAAATTCATCAGAGAAAAAAAAAAGAACAGGTCTGTAATCCCCGAGGACCAAATAAGTGACTGCTTTTGTATCTTCGGTGTGTTTATAGCTGGTGTGATGGAGATGACAGAAAGCTCAAGATAATCCTCATGTCAGAAAAAAAAAAAAAAAAAAAAAACTATATTTCACATCCCACTCTTAAAAAACACAGAGTGCACGTTATCTCCCCCCCCCACACACACACACAGACTTTGCCTTTTTCTTCCTCATTTTTATCTAACAGTTGGTAAATTGGCTGCAGTGAAGGCCCCAAAGAGAGTGTCATCTCGGTGTGAGGCTGCAGGTGAGCAGCAGTTAATTGGCTCCATCCTGACCGGCTCTGGTTCAGGCCCAGGGCTCCGTTGCTCTGCCTGGACGCCCCTGGGGGAGACTCCCTGCCTCCAGCCTATCACAGGAACAGCAGCAATCCTCTAACACCCTCCTCAAACCCCTGTCAACCAGTCTTAGGCCACGGCTCCTGGCCTCACAGCCTCCCCCCCCCCCCCCCGCGACTCTAGGGATCTTACATAGGAACTCAGGTACCTATCTAAATCCACCCTGTAAGGCAGGACTCTCCTGGCCCCGGCTAATGGTTAAAACATTAATCTTCTCCTTTCCCAAGGCTGCTGGTGTGATTCCCCCTGTTTGCTTACTCTGTCTGCCTGCCTATCTGTCATTTGGCAATTCTTTATAGCAAGTATGCTTTTTTCCACTACCTCATAACACTGTGAGAGATAATCAGCCATGCCTGGAGGGGATAAATGATAAGGTCCCCATTGGCTGATTGAGTCCCCTAAACCATGTCAACACAAACCATCTCAGTGATTGGTCTTAATGACCCTATAGATAAAAGATTGGGCGCAAATCAGTAGCGTATAAGGCAAGGATGTGTCTACTTTTGAGAGTGATAACTACAGGCAGAGTCTGTTGTTTGTGCTCCACCTTTTGTTGAGGGTCCGAGGTCCAAATTCAGCTTAAATAAGCCAAAAGGAAACGTAAACGTCCATTCCAATGCATTTTGGTCAGATGGAAGTTTAAACATTGTTTTAGATTTTTTGTCGCATCTTATTTTTGTGCTTTTTAGTCATTCTGTTATAGTTGTGTGTGTTTTTGTTTGTTTTCCTGTTGCATGTTTCAGCCAAGCTTTAGCTAATAACAGACAGATGTGCTCACATTTGGCTCCACTTTGGTACAGAGGTGTTAATGGTTGAGTCAGTCACTTCAAAGTGTCCAGCTCCTGTGGCTGTAAACCAAACTCAAATCCAAACCCTCAATTCTGCCAGACAGCTGCTATGACATGTCTGTGCTGTCTTTAATTTTAACCAATAACATCCACAAAAAAACCCTCACCAAAAAATCTCCACTTTTGTCTTGTATGTGTTTTTTTTTTCCACGAACAACTTCACTAATTGAAACCATGCTGAAATGCTTTTTTTTTGTTTTCTGTAAAAGAGACTATGTTGGCATCACTTCCAAACAATTGTTCAGACAATTGTCACAAACTTTATATGTTAAACTATATAAGGAGAGTGTAATTTGTCCCTTGTTTGGATGGCGACTTAGTGAATGACAAGAAGCGTTGCATCCAGGGATGAAATGAATCTGCAGAGATAAACTATGAATAACCAGGATGACTCAGGATTTGGAGGAAGTTTCGCTGCATTCTCTAACACAGACAGACCAGCAGTAAGTCACTTAAAGTATTATTTTCCCAGATACACATTTATACTTGTTATGTGATTAGAGTCTGCTCAATAGCAATGTACTCCCCAGCTCCCGTTGAGCTGCATGTGGTCTGGAATGGCCTCTGAAATTACAGTCTGTGAGTGGATATCCCGTCCTCACAGTGCAATTAGGGATGCCGCATGCTGCTTTCCCTCTTTCTGTATGCGCACGGCGCAACTCTGACACTAACCCTCTTTGCACTCCAGGGCGACTCGAGACTCCAGGTTGTCCATTTGCATTTGCAGGCGCTTCAGGGTGAGGTCGTTCTCGCGCGACTTGCGCTTGTAGGCGATGAGGACGAGGATGACAATGATGAGGAGGAGGCCGCCACCTGCCGCGATGCTGACGATGGCGGGGAGGGTCAGCAGGCTGTCAGACATGATGTGAACAGACCCGGGGGACACGTGCAGACCACCAACTTGGACCTGCCGAGAGAGAGGCAAACACACGAAATTCCGAGCGAGAACTGAGCAAATTCTGTGGGTGTTTTCAGCGGTTTTGACATCCCATCTATACCACACGGTCACTCATGCCCAGCAGAGCTGGAGCCGAGGCTCATATGTGCAAATTCTGCCCCGACCAAAGTAAATATTGTCCGCCGAAATTGATGCCGTGCGCAAACACTCAGCCACCTGCGTGGCGACGTTGAGAGGAAAGCAGAAAAGGGGCTCGTACGCTATAAGCCAATAGGAAACTGAAAATGATTGCTGCAGATCTAGGCACAACATTTTGACAGCTAACTTTAAAGGCCAACCCGCTATTGAATACACAAAAAGAATAAAGGCAGTAAAGTTCGATGGACAAAAATTATGAAAAAGACCAAAAAATGAGAAGAAATCAAATGCTCACCACGACTTTGTACTGTCCGGTGAGGTTGGGCGGCTCACACAGCAGCTGGCTCTCGGACACAGTCACAGAGCAGGGCGTCTCTCCTATCAGCACCGTGTAGTTAAGCTTCACCCCTCCGGAGCCCGGCGGAGTCAGGTTTCTACCCTGTACGTACACGGTGATGGACACAGGTGTTTAAACAGCACGCAAACGCATGGAGATCAAGGGTATTTTGGCAAATTCAATAAGCTAATATGTCACTTAAATTAGATCCACTGGTTTGGGCACAGATGCCTTGAAATACGATTCCTTACTGTCATAGCGAGGCTTTTAAAAAATATATTTTATAGCACAGACAGCAGAAACAGCTGCTGTTCTACTGAAATGTATCCCTCAGAAATGTACAAAAAGGCTTCTTGTGCCTGAGTGATGACAAAGTGATGTCACATTACATCTTTCAAAAATAATATCCAGAGAATGTATCAATGACTGGGTTAGGGTAAAGAAAAAAGGATCCAAATGCGTGTGTGTGCACATCTGCTTCCTCGTACCTTGAGAATGATCGGGGAGCCTGGTTTTTGCTCCAGGACCCCGTTGGTGCTGAGGGGTTCAAAGTAGGGGTTCGGGTAGTAGAGGAGGTTGGTGTTGTTGTAGACCAGCAGCGCCTGGACGTTGTTGAAGATGAAGCCAAACTCGTCTGCGTGTTTGACCGTGTCCAGGCCTGGATGGTACTCTGCCATCAGGGAGGGAGCGAAGCAGCTCATGCTGGTGGTGTTCAACACTTTGCACACCTGGGGATGAGATATAGAGATATATGAAATATATATCACATATATATTTGGAGCTATAAGGACAGCTCAGTATGGATAATATATACCGACTGTAGTCGTGTGCTGTGATCTCAAAAGATAAACCAACAGGATCCTAACCAGGCCAACAGCCCACCCCCCACTCTTTTCAGAGGAAGGGCTTTACATTTTTGTCACTAAATCCATCTTTATTGTGGAGGAATCCTCTGCAAAATTTGAAATGAATCGCTGCCACTGCCTCACTGTAAAATACTGGAGGACAACAAACACAATGGACGGAAGCGCCGGTGCTCTGTTTCCCCGCGTAAAGGCTGAGCTATGGCTCTTTTATTACTCCTTTCCAGTTTGCCTGGATGAGAGACCTGCGCTCCATCCATCCTCTCTGGCTCGCCTCTAAAGGGAAAGGCAGAGAGGATTGATTGCTGCACAGCACTCTGCACAGAGAGGTTTTTATCTCCTTTCGCTCCCTCCCAGCTCTCTCTCTGGGGAAGGAACTTAATTAGAGGTAAATATCATCAAAGGTAGTGAATGCTATAGCAACTACCTGTTGTCTGCTGTTTCAGAAAAAAGCCTGGGGGGATCGATGGAAACTCGTCTGTGTATGGTGCACCAACTGGATTTAGCTGGCATGGGGTAAGGTGAGTTTCAGCACCAGGAATTAAGGGGGGAGGGTGAAATTTACTCCGTTACAAACTCAAGACTTTGCAAGGTTTCTCTTTTAAGACATCTGACTCTAAATGTTAGCAACTAATAATTACATTAGGCATTGTTTAAACTCTTGATCATCTCAATTATATGTACCATTTAAAGTCTAATAACACTATATATGCCTCTTGCAAGTTGTTGAATCAACATAAAAGTAAAGCATCTGATTTATATTTATTTAAAAGAAAATGGCAGCAAGTTGTGACATGTCAAGAAGTTCAAACTAGATGTTTTAGTACCTCTACCTTTGAAAAAATACACGATAATTGGTGGTCCAAGACAGATTCCAACATTAAATCTATGTCAGCAGCATACATTTCGTGTTAATATCTCTCCATCTGTGACTGAGAGCACAGCAAACCTTCCCTGGTCTGGATGTTTTTCTTTTGACTCACTCAGCGACTGACAAGAGGGAAAAAGATAAGCCCTTTTTTAGAAATAGATAGCACAGCAAGATAGCACTCCTGACACACTTTCACCAAGTTTGGGGTTCTGTGAAATCCCATTAACGAGTGGAAGGCTACAAGAAGAGACGAGGGTTAATGAAAATCTTACACGAGCGTTTGCCATGCAGGAATGGCACTTTTCGACAAAGCAAATGCAATTAATGCAATCTGAACAGCACTGTTCCGGAGCCGGGAATACACCCGTTTAAAGATAACCAACGTTAAACACTGAATCCCTGCTTTGTGCATGATTCAGAATCATTTTATCCACCTGTAATATCTACTGAATAATTATCTACTATACGAAAGAATAAAAAATAAAGAATTTAAGCTAGCTGCATACTGCATTCTGGGTGTTTTTTGGCCTGCGTGGTGTGTGTACGTCATGGTGCAGGACGCTTTAGCTCAAAAAGACGGCAGACATTGTTTTCTTTGTTTGTTTTTTTCCTTATATAGGCACTAAAGGTTTAACGAATGAGAGTGTTGAGGCTGAGCTTGATACGTGTTTCTTTTCTGACTGCTGGAACAGTCACATGCTCTATAGACAGGCCCAGATGCTCCGGCAGCATCCCTGTGACTGTTACATTGGAACAGCAGGACATTTGCAAGTCAACTAAAGCTCTGAATACCATCTGCTCTGCCGGAGATGGATACAGTGTCTTTTTTTTTTTTTTTTTTTTAATAGGTGCCTCCTACCCCCCCTACCCCCCGCCTCACTGTACTCACAAATTCATTGTTTTACCAACTCCAATCAGGACATTAAACTGCTCAGTCTGATCATATATATTTTTCAGGTTATTTGGCAGTGAGTTGGGTTGAGTGAAAAAAACTAAACAATGGGTGAATGAAATCTAATAAAAGAAAGAAAATGGTGGTTGGGGTGTGTCAATAAAAGAATCAAAACTTTATGTGGACATTCAGTACATTTGATTATTTTAAGGGCATTCTTTCTCTATAAATGGATTGATGGGGATTATTCTAACAATTAAGACCTTTTTTTTGCAGCGCAACACAGTAAAAAGTAATTTTCCACTGTTCATCTGTTCCCTCGGGGAGCGCGGGGTGACGAGTTACGCCCCGTACAGCATTGATAAAGTGAATTGAGGTCAACAGAACGAGAACATAATTGGAATTGTGGCCTCATCTGTCTACTTCTTCGTTCTCCGGTGCCGGATAGAGCGAGCCTGTTTTCAGGCACTACCACTCCAACCCCTGTGGCTGAATACATTACTGTGATCCACTGTGCGGTTGCAGCCCACTCAATCATTCAAAGGTCTCTGGCCACGGTAGCGGGGAGAGAGACTGAGGGGAAGAGCTCGCCGTGGAGCCGCTTGTTGGAAAAATGTGAAAGGTCCAAGGAGTCAAAGGTCACTCGGAGGCTAAAATTTATTATCAAATCAGTAGCTGTTCTGATGTTACTGTTAGTTACTCTAACGCCGTGTCTATTTCTCCGCCTGCCTGCTGCTCTGACAAACAGCCGTTCTTAGTCGAGCATTAAATCTATCCTGAGCTATGATCCCCCCCTCCACTATCTATAAAGCATGTGAGCCCTATAGCCAAAGTCAGTGGTTAGCTTTTTTCCTCAGAAGTGTGTTCTCCAGCTAAAGTGGTATCCGCTCTCTCTGTGTGTTGACAAGTGCTTTTTCTTCTTTAATACCGGGGCTCCACCGAGGAGGCGGCACGGTGTGTGAGCGGATTCACGTTTCTGCGTGTATGGCGTTAAAAGATGTGGACGCAGCTCAGACCACAAATTCAACAAAAAGATGTAAAGTTTCAACTTTGAGCTCCTGTTATCCTTCCCTTCCTCAGGGCATTGATCGATACCCCCCCCCCTCCTTCCCTCTAATCAGGCAGCCTGATTGGTTCGGATGCCGGCTGCATCGATGGCGTGCGGTTTCTGAGATCAGCCGAAGCTTTCAATGCATCCTACGCGCTGTGATCTACACATCTTAAGTGTGGCAAATGTATTAAATGCAATCCCTCTGGGACAGGGAAATGTTCCGGAGATGGAAAATAACCCCTTAAGCCTTAATCAAGATCATGATAAATGTTTCAATTGTGGATCTCCGCTGACAGATACAGAACATTTTACAAAGAAAATTGGCTTTTTTCCCCCTCATCTTGGTGTCTTTGTGAATCTGTGTAGGTGACATAAGGGACAGGGAGAAGAGAAGCAATTTAGTGGGAGACAGGAGATCATTTGAAGGCAGGCTGACAGACAGCAGCTCTTATTACTAAAGGCTGCTCTCTTGTTTACCCTCCTCCAGTGGAAAAAAAAGAGAGAAAGGGTGGAGGAGAGTTAGGGGTGGGAAAGCAGAATGGGTAATAGCAACCTTAGCATTTAAAAGAAATTCCTTCTTTGTTGCTGTGGGGACAATCAAGATAGCGGCACGGGCTTCTTTTGGAGGGTGCTAGGTGGGGAGTTTGAGGAGACAAGGTAAAGAGGAGAGCAACGACCCCCCCCCCCTCATGAAGCTTCAGAAACCAACATAGCTGACAGCACAACACACACCCCGACTTCCCCCGCCCACACACACACACATGGGCACGGAAACAAAATCCAATTTTAAAAAGTCTCTTCGCTCACACTCATCCCTCTTCCTTAAACAAGAGACCGCAAAAATAGATGGTTTTCTTTCCTTCTAATTAGGCTTCCTCTTTCAGATCTCGCACAGATCTTTCAGTTCAAAACTGTAAGTGCTTTTTATTAGAGGAGCATTTACTAAACACAAGACACACTTAGGAATATTTTTAGAGAGCAAATTTCAGGGATGGGATATTGGAAAAGCAAATAGGAAGGAGGCTGTTATTATTGCCCATCTGTGTGCATGTAGACCACCATGTCCTGAAATTTTATGAAAGGAGATTTAGGCCCAATCTCATTTCACCACCTGACCTAAATAGTTACCCCTATCTCTGTCTTTCTAAGCAGACACAAAGGGCTGATGTGTTCCTAATTATCGTTAGATGAAGGGGTAGGCTGAAGTGGTAAGGCCACATAGCACTTCAAATGGAGGCCAGACTTCAAACTAACAATTTTGAGAAGTTTCTGCACATTTCATCATTCGATTAGCAGACATACTTCAACAAAGTGATTCCATCGGCATGTGGAACTAGTGAATCAAGAAGAGTTTAATTGTACTAATACATGCTAACTAGCATGCCAGGATGTTTACACATTACAGACCACGAAGTAATTTACAAGGTATTTAAAAGGTTTTCATTTTCTTTGAACTTTTTTTTTACTCTGATGTCCTGAAACTGCAAAAAAATATCTTTGCTTCTCTACACAGCACTAAGATAGAGTGCTAAAATTCTAATAAATCAAATCACTATGGCATATGACTATAGTGTTTTGATAAGCAAAAGCAGTAATGACTTATTAACACCAAAGTTGGCAGTAATAGTTAATAAGAAGAATAAGAAGAATGCTCCCCTGTTGTCAGGAACCTGTGCCAGTGTGAGCTTTGATGCTAATGGCTTACAAATGAGAAAAACATGAAAGTCAAAGACCTACGTTGTAACCAGTTCTGTGTGTGATTCCATTTTTGAAAAACAGAAAAATCAGGTCTGGAGTAAACTCTGCTGGGCGAAGTATCCGCTGCTCCCTGGGAGCGAGCCACCCAGCGTAGACTTCTCTCTGATGTAGGGTGCAGCCTCTCATTACATCAACACCCTTTGTGCTAATGTCAGGTTAACGTTGCATCACTAAATGAGTCGTAAGCAAAAAAGAATTTTTGTGAAACCTGTGCATCTGGAGCACCCTCAAGTGTGTGCAAGTGTGCATGAGTGTGTACTTGTGTACAAGTGTACCAGTTTTTTTATTCTACTATTATCGTCCATGATTTGGCCTGAAGTTCTTGTGTAGTTTATAAGTGCTCCAAAATTACATTTATTGTGACTTGGTTACATAATATTTGACAGAACTGATTTGATATTAATTGAATTGAAGCTTTTATGTTTTTTTCAAAATCATGTCAATGTTGAATTTCAACAAAGTCAGGAAAAAATATTTTTATATCTATCTATCTATCTATCTATCTATCTATCTATCTA